TTTGCTTATGATATCCATTGATATCACAATCAATTGGTAAAGTTAAGTATTAATGTAAATACAATTCAGTCTTGGTATCAATAATTACTAGGGTTGGAAAATACAGGCTTTTTAAATTAACAATATACTGTATTTCATGTTAAACCACAATACTGTTCAGTATTTTTAATGGATTAATAAGGTAGGATTAATTAGCTACAAATGAGTCCATAAGTTATGTGCCATATGTTTGGTATTAATTTACATATTATAAATTTATTGATAAAGTTTTTTTAGTAATTAAAAAATCATTTGAATGTATTACAGTAAATAACCATAATTATCCATATAAAGTTATTATTTGCGACAAATTTAAACATCCATATATTCTGAGTTCAATAATAATCTCAACCACTGTTTTCATAAGATCTGTGAAATACCAGATTTAGTGGCAATCAATACATGTCTATAATTCACAAAATCCCTAATTATATTGAATTGTCTCAATACTAATCACTCATCAATTGATAACATCAATCAAACTAAATGATAGATAAATTTATGATTTAAAAATCAAATCTCTATACATTATAAGTAGAAGTTATGCCATCAACTTATTAGTGCGAATAAACTAATAAAACACAATTCATTTAAACAACAAAACTATTTAATAAATATTTGTATTAACAGTACATTAGTCTTATTGACTTAGAATAATTAATTAAACCTTTCCATTCGCACAATATTGTACTGACTATCCCATACTGTATATGTTTATGATTTACACAGTGTTCATAAACCCTATGATATTATAAGTCATTATCAGTACTAATAAATGATAATCGGGACTGACTTTTGGGTCACATTTTAAATGCAAAAAGTAATTAAATGATAAGTCGGGTGTGATTTTTGACCACTGGTTAGTCTAAACCGGTTTACAATTAAATGATTTTGAAACACATTTGTCATGTGTTGTGAGAAAATACAGATTTGAAAAGCGATTCAGTTATCAATTATTAAGCACTCATTCATTATTAAATTACTGGTAATTTACGTCAAGAAATTGTATGCAATTTTCACCTTATTTTGCATTTTCTATTTAAGGATATAATAATCTTTTAATAAATGTCTTATTGATAAACACTTAACATTAGTATAAATGAACCAAGTTGTTCAATACATAACTATATTAAACATTGTATTACATGTTTGATTTATAGACTATAAATTATAGTACTTTTAAATCACTATTAAAATTTGTACAATAATGAGAATTATTACAATAATGTAAAATAAGTTAAAATAGTAAAACATAGAAAAAAGTTAACAAAAAATACATACAAATTGTACGTCAACTAAGTTTTATAATATAATCTTAGATTATTAATCTATAGTTAAAACTAAATTTGAAAGATACAGTAGTTTAGAGACAACATAAAAGTTAAATTTTCATTTAACATCCAGTGATAAAACCTGTTTATAATAGACATAACATTAGTATAAATGACTAGACATATCAGACTTTATTGTTTTTTCTAATAAAATGCGGGTTTTATACCAAATATTGAAATACAAAATAATTATAAAATGTATAAATCAATAAATAAATACAATAAAAGTATAATAATTGCCACAAAAGTGCTAAACAATGGCCAGTCTATCGTTACAACTGCTAACCGTATCCATAATCACATTACAACGACAGATACAACACAACTACTACGGAAGTGG